GGTCCAGGAAGATCCCACATGCTGAGGACCCACTAAGCCCATGTGCCACAACTACTGAACCCCAGTTCTAAAACCCGAGCTCTGCAACAAGAGAAGCCACTGCAATGAGAAGCCTGTGCACCACAATAAACCTCATAACCCTGGTTCATTTGGCAACTGGAGAAAGTCTGCATAGGGCAATGAAGAAGCAACACAGCCAAAAATAGCATAAATAAATCTTTTAAAAATATAAATGTATAAAAAAATGTCTTAAAAAGAACAAATGCACACCTTTTAGAATAAATGTGTTGAATATATGCTCCTTTTACTATGATGAAATAAATGAGTAGAGAAATAACCCATCTACAATCCTATTTTCTGAAAATCACTGTAACCCTTAATACAATTTAAAGGACAAAGTCATTAACTTAAAAATACGTATCCAGTGGTAACTTATACGTAACTTAGAATAAAAATTACAGCTATAGGCAACAATGAGTGAATTTTGAAGCAAAAGAAGGCAGATGTTAAAATGTGTGTGTGTGTGTACAAAATGATTCCATTTGTATTATGCTCGAAAACAGGCAAAACTAATCTGTAATGTTAGAAACTGGACTAGTGGTTATTTCTGGGAAGAGTGGTGACTAGAAGGTGCATAAGAGGTTTCTAGGCAATGCTTTGGTTTCTTGATATGGATACTGGTTGTGTGGGTGTGTTCATTTTATGAAAATTCATTGAACTTACACTTAAGATTTGTGCACCTTTGTGTATATTATGCTTTAAAATTTTTTAATGTATATCTCAATATGTAAATGCTTGGGGTAAAGCTTTGCCAAACGATTTAGTGAAGTGTTCATATAGAAATATGCTTGCACCTACACATAAGGCTTCCCTGCTGGCTCAGATGGTGAAGAATCTGCCTGCAATGTAGGAAAACCTGGGTTCAATCCCTGGGTCAGGAAGATCCCCTTGAGAAAGGAATGGAAACCCACTCCAGTATTCTTGCCTGGAGAATTCCACAGACAGAGGAGCCTGGTGGGCTATAGTCCATGGGATTATAAAGGGTCAGATATGACTGAGTGACTAACACTTCAAATATAGGATTTTTTGTTTAACTTTTTTAATTTTTAAAAATTAAAAAAAATGTTACTTATTTTAACTGTGCTGAGTGGCTTACAAGATCTTAGCTCCCCAGCCAGGGATTGAACCAGCACCCTCGGCAGTGAAAGTCCTAACGACTGGACTGCCAAGGAATTCCCTAGAATTTCTATGAACACAGAGGCTACAAAGCCTTTGATTGGGTAGATCACAATAAACTATGGAAAATTCTAAAAGAGATGGGAATACCAGACCACCTGACCTGCCACTTGAGAAATCTGTGTGCAGGTCAGGAAGCAACAGTTAGAACTGGACATGGAACAACGGACTGGTTCCAAATAGGAAAAGGAGTGTGTCAAGGCTGTATATTGTCACCCTGCTTATTTAACTTATATGCAGAGTACATCATGAGAAATGCTGGGCTGGATGAAGCACAAGCTGGAATCAAGATTGCCGGGAGAAATATCAATAACCTCAGCTATGCAGAGGACACCACCCTTATGGCAGAAAGTGAAGAAGAACTAAAGAGCCTCTTGAAGAAAGTGAAAGAGGAGAGTGAAAATGTTGACATAAAGCTCAACATTCAGAAAACTGAGATCATGGCATCCGGTCCCATTACTTCATGGCAAATAGATGGGGAAACAGTGGCTGACTTTATTTTTTGGGGTTCCAAAATCACTGCAGATGGTGACTGCAGCCCTGAAATTAAAAGACGCTTACTCCTTGGAAGGAAAATTATGACCAACCTAGACAGCATGTTAAAAAGCAGAGACATTACTTTTCCAACAAAGGTCTGTCTAGTCAAGGCTATGGTTTTTCCAGTAGTCACGTATGGATGTGAGAGTTGGACTATAAAGAAAGCTGAGCACCAAAGAATTGATGCTTTTGAACTGTGGTGTTGGAGAAGACTCTTGAGAGTCCCTGGGACTGCAAGGAGATCCAACCAGTCCATCCTAAAGGAGATCAGTCCTGAGTGTTCATTGGAAGGTCTGATGTTGAAACTCAAACTCCAATACTTTGGCCACCTGATGTGAAGAGCTGACTTACTGGAAAAGACCCTGATGCTGGGAAAAATTGAGGGCAGGAGGAGAAGGGGACGACAGAGGATGAGAGGGTTGGATGGAGTCACTGACTCAGTGTACATGAGTTTGGGTAAACTCCGGGAGTTGGTGTTGGACAGGGAGGCCTGGCGTGCTGCGGTTCATTGGGGTTGCAAAGAGTTGGACACGACTGAGCGACTGAACTGAACTGAGCAGCCACAAACTCAGGCTGTCACAGATGGGTTGTGTTGCTGATTCAAATTCAAGTGTAGTCATTTATGGGATGATTTTCCAAAATGGCAAACAATTCTCAGCAAAATTCCAAACTAAACAAAATACAATCTTCCCTCCATATACACAGGCTTTCCTGGAAAAGTCAGGATTAAAACTGTACTTGCTCACGGAGAGCTCACAGCTTATTGTAGTGCTCCTATTTTTGTATTGACCAAAAATTATGTAAAATTTTCAAATGTTATTCTGATTAAATGGAAACTGATACCTAGCCTCCCATAATGAGATTCTGTGGAATTATAAATAAATCATCACAGTTTGCTTTGAAAAAAAAACTGTACTTGTAAGTTTGTGCTTCTATATAAAGTAAATTCAGGTTCTATACTCAGCAATCACAAACATTTTTACCTACATGAATGTCCATGGAGCATTCTGACAATGATGGGGAACAAAGGACAGTTTTTCACTGAGCAGGACTATCTGGTTCTGAGCAAGACAACTGATACCCTTGGGCCCACCCTTATCTATGTTTATTAGAAATTGACCATTCTCCCACTGTGGAATGTAAGCATCTTGAGAGGACCTTTGCCTGTTTTTTTCCACAGATTTATCCTAAGCTATAGGATACAGAATAGACTGGAACTGGCAGGGAAAAGCCATGAGAAAGAAGAACTAGGATAACAGGATTTTAGGTCTGATATACTAGCAACATGAATGAAGTGTAGTTGAATAATCAACTAAAATGTTTAGGAAAAACAAGCTCTCTCAACTCAATAAATATGTGAAAATATTTAGCAACCAGTTAGATGTGCAGGCCTAAAGGAAGATTTCTCAACCGCAGTTGGATGCCTAAACCTTGGGAAAATGTACGTTAAAAATAAGGGATGTAACAAAGAAGACAGAAAGATGAGCTGAAAAATAAAACCAACAAAACAAAAAGGGATTCAGAAACCACTGGAGGAAAGTGGCAGAGTGTTTTAACAAAGAGTTTGGCAGGACTTGGAGAGAATTGCTTTAGCAAAACAGTAGGACAACAGCCTGGTTGGCATGAATTTGTCCTAGGTGGACAGGTGATGAAAACGTAGATGTAGCCCAATAGCCAGTAAGAATGGGAAAGCAAATAAAATTTTTCCCATTATTTCAATATTTTTGAGAAATTGCTGTGCCAGGAGTATCTGTACAGCAGAATGGTTAGGATACATGGGCTTCAAAATCAGATACATTGAATTCTATTGCTGGTCCTTAATTTAGCAGTGTTGGGCTTCCCCAGTGGTTCAGCGGTATAAAGAATCTGCCTGCAAGGCAGGAGCCGCAGGAAGCGTAGGTTTAATCCCTGGGTCGGGAGGATCCCCTGGAGAAAGGGAAGCAACCCACTCCAGTATTCTTGCCTGGACAATCCCATAGAAAGAGGAGCCTGGTGGGCTATAGTCCGTGGGGTCGCAAAGAGTCAGATAACGTCTGAAGCGACATAGCACACACAAATGTTACAGTAAATAGGTTCTTACTCGACTGAGCTTGAGCGCCCCCATTCGGAAAGTCCATGGGGTCGCAAGAGTCGGACACCACTTAGGGACTAAACCACCAAACCACACAGTTCCTGGCACATGGTGTGGGTTGTTTTTCTTGTTACAGTATAGTTATTAGATGCTCAGGGGCAACAAAAACTAAATTCTGACTTTGCCCACTCAGCTCTCAGAGCGGTGGAGAAAAGGGAAGAGGGCTCTTCTCTAAATCACTGAAATCCAGCTAGTGTGTCAGGGACTTTATGCCAAGGCTGTCAAGAAATTGACACTCTCAGGGCCAAGATGTCTCAGAAGGAAAAGCCCTAGTGATTAGGTCAGAAAGAGCACTGGACTTGGAGCCAGATAGACCTGGACACCAGTCACCCAGTCTCAATGTTCTTCTTCTTCTTTTTAAAATTTTCTCATTCTTAAATAGAGCTTCTGTGGTGGCTCAGATGGTAAAGCGTCCACCTGCAATGCAGGAGACCTGGGTTCGATCCCTGGGTTGAGAAGATCCCCTGGAGAAGGAAATGGCAACCCACTCCAGTACTCATGCCTGGAAAATCCCATGGACTGAGGGGCCTGGCAGGCTACAGTCCATGGGGTTGCGAAGAGTCTTTAAGAGGGACCACACTCCCTGCCCTCACATGGAGCGTTGCTCAGGGTTAGATGATTCCAATGAGAAGGCTGTTTTGCACCCGGAGCAATGAAGAAATTCCATAAAGGTGCTCAGTTCCACAAAACTGGCATCTCTCAGGACAGGAACCGAGTTAATTTTGCTGTCAGGACGCACTCTCTGAGGCCTTGTGGGTCAGCAGAACAGAAAGAGTCGACGTAGAATCTCCCAGAGGGCGCTGACCAGTGCGGACTCCCTGCATAGTAACCTCCTGGGGACTCCTGCTGCTGATCTGAGAACGCGGCCCTCTGTCAGGCGTTACCTAGCAACAGCGTCCTGGAATCTGGCCCAAGAGGCCGATCAGCGTGGACTTCGTTATTTCAGTGATGTAAACAGTCCAATCACTGGGCGTTGTCAGAAGACACGTCCTCTAGCTAATCTCCGCAAGCACCAATGAGGGGTAAGGAATTTTAAGAGCCGGCGCTAAATATTTGGAGCTAGCTCTTATTTGATAAGATCATCTGAAGGAAACGAATGGCTAGCTTCCGACTGCTTTTGAATGATAGTTGTGAAGGCAGTCGCCGCCATATTATCTTAGGGCATTTTCCGATACCTTTGTTCACTCTTGAGTCCGAGAGGGACCGCGACGCTATGATTACTCTGTTTTGGCCGCAGCGTGGGCCCACGCGTAGCCAGATTCGAGCCAGCTCAGACACCGGGTCTAGCAGGGCAGTGCTCCTTGGCTCGGAAAAGAGAGTGGCCCTTGGATTGGGGATCCAGGACTTGGGGACTGGAAGAATCCAAGCGCCGCACCAGCACCGTTCCGCACTTGAAGCCCAGAGCCTGGATCCAGCCGAGGAGGCTGTGAGCTGTGAAGCTTTACCGCCACGGCCGAGTATTTCTTCTCGGAGAAGTGAAATCGGAGGCGCAGAAGGCTCTTTACCGAAAGTGATGTAGAGACCTACGGCCACCTGGGGGCGCTCTGTGAGGGCCTTTCGTGGTCTCCTCCCTATGCATATTTTTGCTTTCTATTCGTCTATTCACAGCGTACCTAATTAAGCGAGTTCTTAGACGAGAGCCGCAGAAGAGGATTACTCAAACCCGGCAAAATGCCTGAAGGGGAGAGGAACAGAGGGCGTAGTGAGCTGAAGCTTGGGAGGGGCTGTCCTAGAGTCTCTAGGAAGCCTTTTATAATTATTTACCACGATCATCTTGCTATGTCTATGACTAGGACATAGTTTTGTTTCTTTTTTTAACGGCTTTTTTGAAATATTATTCACACACCATATAATTCACCCGTTTAAACTGTACAATTCAATGGTGTTTTTGTGTGTGTGTGTTTATTTTTAGTATATTTAGAGTTATGACTCATTGGAAAAGACCCTGATGCTGGGAAAAATTGAGGGCAGGAGGAGAAGGGGACGACGGAGGATGAGATGGTTGGATGGCATCATCGACTCGATGGACATGGGTTTGGGTGGACTCCGGGAGTTGGTGATGGACAGGGAGGCCTGGCGTGCTGCGGTTCATGGAGTCGCAGAGTCGGACACGACTGAGCGACTGAACTGAACTGAGAGTTATGAAACCATCACCACAATCAACTAAGCACATTGTCATAACCCCAGAAACTCCCTCATTTTCCCCTCCCTCAGCTCCTGGCAACCACTAATCTGCTTTCGGTCTCTGTAGATGGGCCTTTTCTGGACACTGCATGTAAATGAAATTATAAGACATGGTCTTTTGTATTCAGCTTATTTCTCTTGGCATCTTTTTTAAATTCTTCCATGTTGTAGCATGAATCTTTATTTAACATTTTGAAAATAGATTTTATTTTTAAAGTAGTTTAGGGTTCACAGTAGAATTGAACAGAATGCGCAGAGAGTTCCTATATCCCTCTGCCCTCCCCCCAGCCTCCCCCACAATCAACATCCCATACCAGAGGGGTAGATTTTCTACAATCTATGAACCTACATTGGGCTTCACCACTCGCTCAGTGGTAAAGAATTCACCTGCAATGCAGGCGATGCGGGTTCAATCCTGTGGTTGGGAAGATCCGCTGGAGGAGAGCATGGCAACTCACTCCAGTATTCTGGCCTGGAGAGTCCTATAGACTGAGGATTCTGGCAGGCTATATAGTCTATAGGGTTGCAAAGAGTCGAACACGACTGAAGTGACTGAGCACCACACTGCATGAAACTTCATTGGTTCATCATTATCACTCAAAGTTCACAGTTTATATTAACATTCACTTTTCATGTGCTTCAGAGTTTTGACAAATGCATAATGACATGTATCCACTATTATTATGGTATGTGCAATAGTTTCATTACCCTAAAAATCCTGTGTTCCAACTGTTTATTTCTCCTTTCCCAACCCATGGAAACCACTGATCTTTTTATTGTCTCCATGGTTTTCCTTTTTCCAGAATGTCATATAGTTGGAATCATACAGTAATCACTTAGGAACTTACATTTAAGGTTACTATATATCTTTGTACATCTTGATTGCTCATTTTTTAAAACATTTATTTATTTGGCTGCACTGGGTCTTAGTTGTGGCATGGGAGATCTTCATTCTTTGTTGCAGGAGGCAGGATGTTTAGTTGTGGCATGTGGGATCTAGTTTCCTGACCAATGATTGAACCTGAGACCCCTGCATTGGGAGTGCAGAGTCTTAGCCACTGGACCACAAGGGAAGTCCCAATAGCTCATTTCTTTTCACTGGTAATATTTAACTGTATGAATATACCACAGGTTATTTATCCATTCACTTACTGAAGGACATCTTGGTTGCCCTAAAGCTTTGGCAATTATGAATAAAATTGTTGTGAACATTCATGTGCAAATTTTTTTATGTGAACAGAAGTTATCAACACCCTTGGGTAAATACCTAAGAGCATAATTGCCGAATCATATGATAAGAATATGTTTAGTTTTGTAAGAAATTGATAGTCATACAAAATGACTACGAATTTTTTTTTGATGGATTTCTTAGGAGTTTTCATATTATGTCACCTACATATAACAAGTTTTACATCTTTCCAATCTGGATGACTTTTATTTCATATTCTTGCCTAATTCTGCCTAGAACAATAGAAGTGATGAGAATAATATATTATTTATGTATATTATGTATGATATATATAAGTATATATAAATTATAAAGGGTGTTAGATTTTGTCAAATTCTTTTTGCACATCTGTTAAGATGATCCTGTGGTCTTTGTCTTTATTTTATTGACACATGATGTATTACATGAATTAATTTTCAGATGTCATGCCAACCTTGCACCCCTGGGCTAACTCCCATCCAATCATGGTATATAATCCTTTCTATAAACCCACTAGAATAACAACAAAAAAGAAAACAAGAGGAAAAAAAGAATAAAAAAACCCTTCATATTCCCCTCTCCTCAGCCCATGATAATCACCCAACAACCATTCTACTTTGTTTCTATGAAACTGGCTACTTTAGATACTTCATATAAGTGCAACTGTTGCAGGAAGGGGGACCCTTCCAGGGCCTGAAACTGGGCTGTCTAACACTTGGAAATGAATTGTCCAAGGAGACACATGTGCTGACAAAGCAAGAGATTTTATTGGGAGAGGGCACCTGGGTGGAGAGCAGGAGGGTAAGGGAACCCAGGAGAACAGCTCTGCCACGTGGCAGTCTCGGGTTTTATGGTGATGGAATTAGTTTCCGGGTTGTCTTTAGCCAATCATTCTGACTCAGAGTCCTTCCTGGTGGTGCACGCCTTGTTCAGCCAAGATGGATGCCAGAGAGAAGGATTCTGGGAGGTGGTCAGACCTGTGGTGTCTCCTTTCGACCTTTCCCGAACTCTTTCCGTTGGTGCAGGCTTATTAGTTCTGTGTTCCTTACCAGGACCTCCTGTTGTAAATCAACTAATGCAAATGGTTACTATGGTGCCTGGCCAGGGTGGAAGATTTCAGTTGAGTGTGCTTCCCCTAACACAACCATACAGTATTTATCATTTTGTGATTGGTTTATTTCACTTAGTATAATGTCCTCAAGTTTCATCCAAGTTGTAGCATGTTGCAGAATTTCTTAGTTTTTTAAGACTGGTTAATATTCCATTGTTGGTAAACACCACATTTTCATTATCCATTCATTGGTCCACAGATACTTGGGTTGCTACCACCTCCTGGCTATTGTGGATAATGCTGCTATAAACACTTGTGTGCATAAATAGCTCAAGACCCTGCTTTGAATTCTTTGGAGTACATACTCAAAGTGGAGTGGCTAGGTAATAAATTCTATTTTTCAATTTCTGAGGAACTGCTATACTGTTTTTGGTGGCACAGTGGTTAAGAATCTGCCTGCCAATGCAGGAGATGCACAAGATGGGGGCTTGATCCCTGGGTCAGGAAGATCCCCTGGAATAGGAAATGGCAACCCACTCCAGTATTCTTGCTTGGAGAATTCCATGAACAGAGGAGCCTGTCGGGCTGCATGCAGTCCATGGGGTCACAAGAGTTGGACACAACTGAGTGACTGAGCATAGCTGGTTCACCTCTGGACTTGATGGCTTCTTATAACCAAGTTACAACTAGCTATACTAATCATTGAAATTTGTTCTCTTTTTGTTCTTTTCAAATTATGTATGCTTTGTGTCTCTCTGCTGTGCTGTGCTTAGTCGCTCAGTCGTGTTCGACTCTTTGCAATCCCATGGACCATAGCCCATCATGCTCCTCTGTCCATGGGGATTCTCCAGGCAAGAATACTGGAGTGGGTTGCCATGCCCTCTTCAAGCAGATCTTCCCAACCCAGGGATCGAATCTAGGTCTCTTTCACTGCAGGCAATTCTTTCTGGAAAGATCCACAAGGGAAGCCCTGTGTCTCTCTGCTGTATTATAATCTTATTAATATTACTAGCTGTATTACTTATAGTCTGTCTATTTTATAAGATTGTTGCCTCTTGCATTACCTAATGTATAATCAGGCCTCCAACAAAATTCAGTCAGTCAGTTCAGTTGCTCAGTCGTGTCCGACTCTTTGCAACCCCATGAATCACAGCACACCAGGCCTCCCTGTCCATCACCAACTCCTGGAATTTACTCAAACTCATATCCATTGAGTCAGTGATGCTATCCAGCCATCTCATCCCCTGTCGTCCCCTTCTCCTCCTGCCCCCAATCCCTCCCAACAAAATTAATGGTGGCTAAATGTCTTGAGGCAATTGATCATATATATAACTCTATATTAAATAATTGTAACAGTGTGACTCTAGGTATGAAGAAGCAACAGAGGAAAACATTTCCTGGGCCTAATCCAAAAATAGCACATTGGGTGGCTGATCAATAAAATCCTCCCTCTGACCTAGGAACGAAAATTCCTGGTGCCATGGGACAAATTGATCATGAAATGCCTCTTAAACCTTACTTGAATTTATGACCAAGAGGGGGCCCTGTATGGGAGTTCCCCAGTGGCCAAGCGGTTAGGATTCCAGGCTCTCACTTCTGTGGCTAGGGTTCCCCCTAATGGGGGAACTGAGTTGTCACAAGCCTGGCAGGGGGGATAGCCCCCCCACCAAGAGGGGGGCCTATGGAAAGGGAAGATATCCTGCTATTAATGCCATAATGTTGGCATGAATAAATGAATAAACCACAAATGTTGCCCACCATCAAGCCATCAGCCACTAAAACCGCCACGTCCCCCTGCCCCTGTCCTAAGGGGCACCCTGAGGGGAATTCAAGATGGAAAAATAGAGGAAACATTCTATTCTTTAATAGATACTGGGCTAGATAGTTACAATAAGTTGCATATCTAAAGAACAATTTTAACAAGTTGCGACACTTCCAACAGAGAAAAGCACAATATCATTAACTTGAAATGTCGTTTTTTTTGCGATCAGCAATAATCTTTTGATTTTATTATAATTATATAGTGTGTATATTTCCAACAAGTATATTTTTTTGTGGCAATATTATTTCCAAAAATATTTCCAACAAAATCTGCTATATATACTGGCTCCTTCCTCGGAGCAGTTCCTCAGAGCTATCGGAGAGAATATAGCCCTCAGTTAAGGTCCCTGAATAAAACTCAACTCGCAAATTTTAGGCTGGTGCGTACCACAAAATCTTTGTTCCTTCTGCTTACTAGCAAGTACCCTCTGAGTTTTTCCTCATTGGTAGAACCAGGATAACCATCACTTCACACAGAAGTAGCAAAAAATAAATAAGTTGAAATGTGTAATATGTTGGGCGTGGTACCTGCGCAAAGGAAACGCTAACATTAATTCCCTTCCCCAAAGGGCAATAAGGAGCTAACCCACCCACCATCGGAAGAGAAAGCCAGGAAAGACAGCCCAGGGAAATCTCGGCCCCCGGTTGGCCACAGTGACTCCGTCGCTGAAATCCTTCCCTCCCTCGGCTAGGCTGCACCTCTAGGGAACTGGGGACCGTTCCTGACCCCGGCGGGTTCGCCCCTTTCCGCCTCAAGACTCCTGGCAGTCACCCGACCCGAGGGTCCAGCTTTTCTGCCCTTATGCTTCCGTTGGCTTCGTTCAAACAGGCCGCTTTGGGCATCACCCAATCAGAATGCTCGATCTTCGGCCGCCGCCCAATGAGCGCGTGGAACGGGGGAAAAAAGGGCGTGAAGCCCAATCGCAGCGCCATCACACTTGAGGGCAAAGAGGTTAGGCAGCCGGCATGGCGCTCCGGTCAATAAAATCGATAGCTGGAAGCTGCCTGTGTTTCAGGCAAAGGCGGTGCAGTAGCGGCGCCGCCATTTTCGCCGAAGGCATCTTCCGGTGCCTTTCACCCAAGTTCGGGCAGGAGTTTCCTGAATAACAGCGAAAGGTTTCCGTTAGCCCCGCAGGCGGCTGATTCCGGTTCCCGCCGGGCCTTCCCGGCACGCTCCGCACGGGTCTGGCGGGGGCTCCCAAATCCTCGGCCCCTCCAGCGCCCAGGGGCCGAGGCTGGGAGGGGGAAGGCCGTGGTGCCGGCTTCTCGGGTCCAATGGCGCGGCCTTCGGCTCTGCTCCCTGCGCGGGGACCAGGAGAGGCCAGACCCGGCCGGAGAAGGGGAAGGAGACCGAGGGCGGTGAAGTTCGGGGACGTGGCCTTGTACTTCTCCCGGGAGGAATGGGGGTGTCTGCGGCCCGCGCAGAGGGCCCTATATCGGGACGTGATGCAGGAGACCTACGGCCACCTGGGCGCGCTCGGTGAGGCCCGGCCCAGCCTGCTTCCGCGGGCCCAAAGGGATGGAGGAGCTGGGGGTGGGAGGAGGCAGGGAGTCTAGAGGTCCAGGGTCGTGGCCTGCGACCAGGTTGTGTCAGGGGAGGAGGACGGGGGCTGGGCAGATGATGCCGCCGGCATAGATCAATCTACCTAGCATTGTGTATGAGCTGGGCCTGACTGGTTCTCCTTCCCCCAGGGTGCGCAGGTCCCAAACCAGCCCTCATCTCCTGGTTGGAACGAAATACCGATGATTGGGAACCGGCTGCCCTGGATCCACAGGAGTGCCCAAAAGGGGTAGCAGTCCAAAGAAGTGAGTGAAAAATGCCTCTGGAGGGCTTGCAGCCTCTAATGACTCAGTCCACAGTTTTTCGGTGCCGAGGGGTAGCCATGACCCAAGCTGGAACGCTCCATTTACTGTGTTTATGTTCACAACTTCAGGATATTTGTCTCTTTGATTGGTGTCCAGTCCCTGTTGCCAATTTCTGAACTGACCACATGCAGTTGTCTGTTGTGTAAATGGATCAGTGAACTTCTCAAAAGAGTTACCACCCTCTTGGGGCTCCCCAGGTGGCTCAGTGGTAAAGAATCCACTGCCAATGCAGGAGACCCTGGTTGGATCCCTGGGTCAGGAAGATCCCCTGGAGAAGAAAATGACTCTCCATTCCAGTATTCTTGCCTGGAGAATCCTATGGACAGAGGAGCCTGGGGGCTACAGTTCATGGGGTTGCAGAGTCAGACATGACTGAGCAACTAAACTTCCACCTCCACCACCCTCTTGCCTCCTTCCCAGGACTCTGCCTCCAGCCTGTTTTAAATTGGGCTCTAAGAGAGCCTGTAGCGCTTCCCTGGAAGCTCTGAAGGTAAAGAATCTGCCTGCAATGCAGGAGACCCAGGTTCAATCCCTGGGTCAGGAAGATTCCATGGGGAAGGGCATGGCACCCCAATCCAATATTTTTGCCTGGTGAATTTGGTGAATAGAAGAGCCTGGTGGACTGCAGTTCATGGAGTCATAGCGTCAGACAGGACTGAGCAGCTAACATTGAGAGAGCCTATACCTCTGAGTTTTCAGATTTGGATTGAAAGGCTCCAATGGGGCAGAGTGGTCTGGCGTGCACTGGCCTCTTTGCCCTTCTGGCCAAGTGACCCTGATCAGTGCAGGAATCTTTAGCCTTCAGGATGAAGCAAGGCTCTGATTAAGGCCATTCAGGTAGAAGGACCCCAGATCCACCTACAGGGGCAGATGCAACTCTGGGCTGGAGTTTCTTTGCCAGGTTCTCTAAAAGCAGGGATTTTTCTAAGTTTTGACATACTTCTTGCTTAAAACTTTTCAGTGTTTGCCCAGGCAGTTGCCAAATGGTTGGTGGTTAAATGTAAGTCAATTGGGGAATTTGGTGAAAATACACATTTCTGGACCCTATCCCAGAACTATTCATTTACTCATATAAATGTGTGTGTGTGTGTATTTTCAATAGCCCCAGTTGATTTCGCTGTATGTTTAGGTTTGGTTCTCAGAGTGTGGTGTCAGACAACCACCAGCAGCAGCAGCATCACTTGAGAGTGTATTAGAAAATGTAGAATCCCAGGCCCCACCTTAGACCTGCTGAATCCCGAACTGGGAGTAGGGCCCAGCAGTCTGTTTCATGCATGCATGCTCAGTCACTGAGTCGTGTCCTACTCTGGACTGTAGCCCACTAGGCTACTCTGTCCATAGGGTCCTCCAGACAAGAATACTGGATTCGGTTGCCATTTCCTCCTCTAAGGGATTCTTCCCAACCCAGGAATTGAACCCTCATCTCCTGAGTTTCCTGCATTGGCAGGCAGCTTTACCGTTGCATCACCTGCGAAGCCTCAGTGTGTTTCATTAAACCCTCCAAATGATCAGGATCACAATAAAATTTGAGAAGCATGGACTTAAGAGGGCCTTATGATCTAGTTACTGCCAGATCATACCTCATTTGTTTTCATTTCCTGCCTTAAATTTAACCTCTTCAAAAACTTCTTAGTCTGCTTAATCTTTCCAAGAAACCTTCCCTGACTTCTCCAAGCTGGATTAGGGGCTTCGGTAATACCCTCCATATTCTGGAGCAGTATGTCTCACTTGGTTGGTTGTCTGTGTCATTAACACTCCTTGAAGATGGTGTTGAGTGTGATTGTTTTATAACCTGTAACACTAATAGGAAAGAGTAGAAGCCCAGTATTTGTTAATTTCTCCTTTGTGTCCCTGTAGAAACCAGAAAGAAAAATGAAGAGAAGGAAGTATTCCCACCTAAGGAGGCGCCCCGAAAGGGGAAGCGTGGCCGGCGGCCCAGCAAACCCCGTCTGATCCCCCGGCAGACTTCAGGAGGTCCCATCTGCCCTGACTGTGGTTGTACCTTTCCCGATCACCTGGCCCTGCAGAGCCACAAGTGTGCCCAGAATCTGAAAAAGCCTTACCCTTGCCCAGACTGTGGGCGCCGCTTTTCCTACCCGTCCCTGCTGGTCAGTCATCGGCGGGCACACTCTGGGGAGTGTCCCTACGTTTGTGACCAGTGTGGCAAGCGGTTCTCCCAGCGCAAGAACCTCTCCCAGCACCAGGTCATCCACACAGGCGAGAAGCCCTACCACTGTCCTGACTGTGGCCGCTGCTTCCGGAGGAGTCGGTCCTTGGCCAATCACCGGACCACGCACACGGGTGAGAAACCCCACCAGTGCGCCAGCTGCGGGCGTCGCTTTGCCTATCCCTCCCTGCTCGCCATCCACCAGCGCACACACACCGGAGAGAAGCCCTACACCTGCCTGGAATGCAACCGGCGCTTCCGCCAGCGCACCGCCCTGGTCATCCACCAGCGTATCCACACGGGCGAGAAGCCCTACCCGTGCCCGGACTGCGAGCGGCGCTTCTCCTCCTCCTCTCGCCTGGTCAGTCACCGGCGGGTGCACTCCGGGGAGCGCCCCTACGCCTGCGAGCACTGCGAAGCCCGCTTCTCCCAGCGCAGCACGCTGCTCCAGCACCAGCTCTTGCACACGGGGGAGAAGCCGTACCCCTGCCCGGACTGCGGCCGCGCCTTCCGACGGAGCGGCTCCCTCGCCATCCACCGCAGCACGCACACTGAGGAGAAGCTGCACGCCTGTGATGACTGTGGGCGCCGATTCGCCTACCCCTCACTGCTGGCCAGTCACCGGCGCGTCCACTCGGGCGAGCGGCCCTACGCCTGTGACCTGTGCTCCAAGCGCTTTGCCCAGTGGAGCCACTTGGCTCAGCATCAGCTCCTGCACACGGGGGAGAAGCCCTTCCCCTGCCTGGAGTGTGGCCGCTGCTTCCGCCAGAGGTGGTCTCTGGCGGTCCACAAGTGTAGCCCTGGGGTCCAGAACTGTGGCCCTCGATCTGCCATAGGGGCGCCTAGCCAGAAAGGCCAGGCCCTTTAGAAGGGGAGGGACTGTGTAAGTCCATTTCACTTCATGGAGGGGACCCAGAAAAGGGAAGGAGCCCCCTGATCATGTAGGGCAGAGTCAGAACTAAAACCCACCTCTCTTGCTCCACAGAGCTGAACTTTAGTGTATTCTACCATGCTGGCTGCCTTAATACATGTGTCTAGAACAGACAGTCCCAGTTAGGAGAGGGGACATTATGCGGTAAAAACTTTCCAAACTGCCCTACCCTAAAGGACTTGCTGTGTGTGGGGTATCAGGCTAAAGTTTCTCCCCATCTAATTTAGGGACTGTGTTTTCTAGTTTGTGCATGCAGTCAGGAGGATCCCATTCATGGGGTGCAAGATCTTGCCCCTCCTCTGCCTCTTCTTCCTTGCTAGGTTTGAAACAAACTTGGTTTAGCCCCCTTTTGACAGTATTCCTTCCGAGTGGTCTTCTGCCCTTTAAAACCTCCCTTGATGCAGCTCACTACCTCACAGGCGGGTCCTTTCGCTGTGGCACAGCTCTGACCTTTAGAAGGCCCTTAAGCACTGCATTCTCCTTCCCTGGAAGCCTTGCCCCGAATGTGTTTCAAACTTGATCTACATGGCAGCCCTTCAGAAAACTTAATCACAGATACGTTGTCTCCATGTTTTCAGGTTAAGCAGCCTTAATTTGGTCAACCATTCCTAAAAGACAGGCTTTTGGTTCCCACATGTGATCTTTGCCCAGGCAGGTGCTGGTTTTTCAATGTCTTTTTTAAAGAGTCATACAAAATAAGCCAGCATCACAGTGTGCAGTATATCCCCTTGGTCTGTAATTGTTTGAACAGGTCTAGATTGCACTGGATTTGGGGGTGGTGACAGTGTACCAGGGCTTTATTGGGTTGCAGACACCTATATACCTAAGCTTTTTCTTTGTAAACCACATGCTAAGTCTTCTGCACCCTGAGTTTGGAAGTTCGGTTCAAGGTTAGGTCTGGGACATAAGCACAGTGAGCTTTGGGAGACTGATTTTAAGGAAAAGCAGGGCGGGGGAGCTGTGGTGTAGCAGCAAGAAGTAAAACTAGGACCAGCTTGTACTTTATCTGGTGGATTTGACTTTCTTGGGAACTGGGTCTCACTCCTCCCTGATTCTCATGAGAACGAGGAGACACTAGTATAGAACCTTCGTTGATTCCTCTGTCAGCATCTTTCATGAAATGAGGCGAGGCCATTCAGGGAAGTTAGAAAGTTAGGTAATTGAATATGAAGCAGAAGTCTAGTCATCAAATTGTGTTCATGCCCGCCTCACAGAAGATCCATATGGCAGCAGCATGTTTTAACCTTTGATGTGCCTTCATGGCACCCATCCCTAAGTAGGTACTCAGTAAAGCTTTACTGAATTAAATAAACAAGGCCTGCCACTTGGCCTTGGGGAGCTGCACCAAATTGGAATTTCCAAACATGACGTATAGTCCAACCCTTGAAGTCAGTCATCCTTCTACCCGTTGCTTCTTCCCTCATTTCTTCTGCCATCAGCCCCAGGGGTGTGTGCCTGGGGCAGAGTGTTTGTAATTTCCTCTGTTCTGGTCTTTAGCAAGTTGCATTGTAACTGTTTCTTCTTGGATTGATGGGCTACCCCCAAAGCAGGGGTCATATCAGATTGGGATTCATTAAAATGTCTGATGAGTGACTATGTTCCTTGTGGAATTATTGTTTATAAAATGTAAATCTAGTTCCTTGACTGAGGAGACATTTTTATAGTTCTGATGGAAAGCTTGCCCTTCCCTAGCAGAGACCTATTAGAATTCTGCCTCATGTTCTATTGTAGAACTGGTTCTTTACCCTACTTTTATCACCAGGCTAACCCAACTATTTCCTTTCCTAGGAATTTTAGAAATTTCTTTGGACCTCCATTGTAACTCATAAAATTTTAGAGCTGTTGGTAGGCAATCCCAGTATGTGGTCTGTGGAGGGCTGAAATGAGACAAGTTCTTAGGTTTCCTCATTAGTCCCAGGATCCCAACTTCAGTTGGTTGATCTTCAACCAACTATAGCCAGTGGGAGAGTTTTTGTTTCTGGCTGTGCCATTTAGCTTTTGGGATCTTAGTTCCCTGACCAGGAACTGAACCCATGACCCTTGCAGTGGAAGCTTGGATTCTTAAATCACTGGACCATCAGGGAAGTTCCTATAGTCAGTTGTTGATCCCAGTATTCTTCCAAGTAATTCTCTCTTCTGCTTTTGGTAGTTAAGAGTTTATGTTACTTGTGACCAAAAGAATGAACTAATCTACAGTGCCATTATGGGTCTATCTCCCATCTGTCTTTATGCCTGTGTGTGGGCTATGGAGGAAGACAATTACAATGCTGCTGAGAGGAGCCAGCCTTTCTGCTTCATCCTCAGCTGAACTTTCAACATTACTGTCTTTCATTGGTCCCAAACCATTGACTGCCTTCTCTTTCACTAAGAAAACAGAGTGTCAAATAAGAACCCCCTTAACATTCCACTCTATATTGTCACTCTGAAAGTTCTGTGTGAGCACTTGTTACTTGCTGTCAGGGGAGGCCCCTCATATAGTGCTTCCCAATACAGGTATGCCTGATTTCCTCTACTTCTGCCCCATCATGGACTTTGCTCCATCTATTATTCTCTTAAGTTTTATAGTTTCAGAGTCTTTTTTTTTTTTTTTTTAAAGGTACAAACATACCTTTAAAAGAAAAAATTCATTATTTGGCTATACCAGGTTTTAGTTGTGGCATGTAGGCTCTAGTTCCCTGACCAGGGATTGAACCTGGGACCCCAACACTGGGAGTGCAGAGTCTTGACCCCTGGACCACCAGGGAAGTCCTACTTTCAGAGTCTCTTTTCTGGAACATACATCCCAACTTATAAACATGCTAAAATCTGTCTTTAAAAACAATAAATTTCCCTTGGCCTCTGTCCTAATCTCCTATTTTCAGCTAAATTTCTTGAAACAGTAGTCTACATTCACTGTATCCACTCTGTTTATTCTTTGGCCCATTGCAATAGTATTCTAGCCACTTTGTTGAGCATCTACGATGTGTCACGTACTGTGTTAAGCACTTTATATACATTCCTATCTAGTTCGTACAAGAACTCCATAAAGCCAGTGTTAGGAAATGCTCCTCTTTGGGGTTTTCATGTTGCTACACATCTTGTTGAGTATGCAAAAATGCAAGGCCCTGTCTTCAACAAATTCTCAGATTTGTGCCAATTCCAAAGCTAGAGCCTTTTGATAGGTTGGACCCCCATGATGAAGGACCTTGTTACATTGGCAAAGACATGCTGTAAGTCTTCCTGCTGCTGCTGCTAAGTTGCTTCAGTTGTGTCCGACTCTGTGAGACCCCACAGACGGCAGCCCACTAGGCTCCCCCGTCCCTGGGATTCTCCAGGCAAGAACACTGGAGTGGGTTGCCATTTCCTTCTCCAATGCATGAAAGTGAAAAGTGAAAGTGAAGTCGCTCAGTCGTGTCCGACTCTGCGACCCCATGGACTGCAGCCTACCAGGCTCCTCCGTCCATGGGATTTTCCAGGCAAGAGTACTGGAGTGGGGTGCCATTGCCTTCTGCCATAAATCTTCCTACTCTTTACCAAATATGAAAGTCAAAGTGAAGTCGCTCAGTCGTGTCCGACTCTGCAACCCAGTGGACTGTAGCCCACCAGGCTCCTCCATCCATGGGATTCTCCAGGCAAGAGTACTGGAGTGGGTTGCCATTTCCTTCTCCAGGGGATCTTCCCGACCCAGGGATTGAACCCAGGTCTCCCACACTGAAGACAGACGCTTTAACCTCCGAGCCACCAGAGAAGCCCAATATACCTGCACCCATTTACCAGGGTGGATGGGCATGGGAGAAGGAAAGTAACTAGAATTTTCAAGGTTCTAATTCTTAAAAGATCCAAATAAGAGAAATTTTATTAAATAAGAGAAAATGTTCTTCCAGAAATTAACCCTAACAGTTAATGATTAATTGATTTGCAGCAAAGGTGCCAAGACCATTCAAGTCTCAGTCTTTTCAACAAATGGTCCTGGGACATCTTAAGAAAGAAGTTGGATCTCTAATCATATACAAAAATTAACTCAAAATGAACCCCAGAACTAAATGTAAATGCTATAAAATTTCAAAGGAAACATAAGCATGTTTGTGATTCTGGATTAGGCAATGGTTACTAAGCTATGACACCAAAAGCCCAAGTGATAAAAAAAAAAAACTGATCAACTGATCTTCAAAATCAAAATTTTGGGAGTTTCCTGGTGGTCCAGTGGTTAGGACTTTAGTGCTTTCACAGCCGTGGCCTGGGTTCAATCACTGGTTAGGGAACTAAGATCCCGTAAGCCATGCAGTACAGCCAAAAAATCCCCCAAATTTTAAAAACCACTTTGCGCTTCAAAGGACACCTTGAAGAGAGTGAAAAGCCATAGAATGGGAGAAAGTATTTGCAAATCACAGATCTGAAATGGAATTTG